AAAATTTCAGTAATGAAAATCTGTTCTTCATAACACTGAGGGCTTCTAAGAGACAGGGAAATAGCCCCTGAATATCGCCAGTGTAAATTCCTTACTTATCTGTGCACAAACCCAGGGCATTGCATAAACATAGCAACTCTAGCACTGAAGTTTGAGAGAGAGGTAGGAAGTGTATCCTTTGTAATTGTCTGTAATGCTTAGCATCATGATAGAAAGAATAAATCATCACAAAAAGGGAGAGAGGATGGCAGAAAGAGAAAATTAGCTGTAGAAGACAGAGCATGTGAGGAAAATCTTATGAGAAGTCAGAAGACACCAACTTCCATAAACAAAGGGACAGACAGGGAATTCTTGGATAAAGAGGGTATGTTTGTACAAGGGCAAGAAACAATTTGTTAATGATCTGGGTAAGAGAAGATTTTAGCCATTGTTAGAATATGATTGGGAATAAATATTATTTTCAAGACAGGTTCTTACTATGTACTAAAACTAGCCTGGATCTTTTTTTTAAGAATGAACAATTTTAAACATGTATATGATGTATTTTGATATTCACCCCATTGCCCTCCCTTCTTATCTCCTGCCTACTCCTTCCCAACTCCCTCGTCTCAGCAATTCCCCCTCCTATGCTGCCTTCTTCCTATAGTCCGGAGTTTAACTAAGACAGTTTCCATGTGCACGGATGTGGGGTTGTTCCCTGTAGCTTGGGCATCTTAGTAGTGGCTACATTCCTGTAGAGAAATGAAGCCTTCTTTCCCGGCAGCCAGTTCCGGCCAGTAGCTGCTCATGAACACCTTCCCTGGCGTGATGGGGTGTGGATGGTCTCTGTCGGGTCCAGGTGGCCACAGCTGCTGTGTTTCATGCCTAAGAGGACCACATGGTGCCCCAGAGACAGCGCTCCACAGCACTCCACAGCACTCATTCTCACCCTAGAGCCCCGCGCTCTTCCTGCTCCCTCTCCTTCCTGTATTCCCCGAGTCTTGGGGCAGGGTGGTGTGAGAAATGGCATAATGTTCTCTTTAGGTCTGAGTACTCAGCAGGCACCTATTCTGAGAGTATGTGCTAACCATCTCCTCCTGAAAAGGGGTATCTCTGCCAAAGGTGGGTGATTGGAACTCGATTGGCGTTCACCGCCTCCCCGGGTTAGAATATACTCGATATCAGCTTCTAACCCTCTCCATGTAAGAAGCTTTGTTGCAAAGACTACTCTGGTTTCCTTTCTGTCACTTTGACCAAACACTCTGAGAAAAAGCAGCGTGGTGAGGAAGGCATTTATTTCATCTTACGTGGTCCCAGCCCATCACTGAGGGAAACCAGGTCAGGAACTGGAGGCAGGAACCTGGGGCAGGAGCTGAAGCAGAGACAATAGAGGCTCGCTGCTTTACAATGTCTGGGAATGACCGGGATGAGGAAGGGCAGCCCTCAGCGCTGTTCACTTCTAAATAACAGCTCCTGCGATCGCCAAAGAGAACCAAAATGGGAGGAGAAATGTGTACAATTAGACCCCTGTAAAATTAAATGAAGTGATTGATTATCCATTGAACACCAAAGGGCAGCAACAAATGTGAAATGTGCAAGCCAGTGTCACCCCATGGCTATTAAAACCAGGAGTAAAAGTTCATAGGTCACCATATCACAGCGTACCATAGCTGGACCCGACGTCAAAGACAGAGCTTAACTCTGAGGTCACGGGCTTTGATCGGAAGAAGATTTGAGTTGTCTTCCAAATTCAACACTTGCAATTTAAATAGAGTGGAGGTTTTGAAAAGTGGCAGCACAGAAATATAATCCAGATACTGGGCTGAGGACCGTGTCCGGACCTGAGTTTAAATCTTACTAACACTAACTGGATGGTGGTGGTGCATGCCTTTAACCCTGGCACTCGGGAAGCAGACAGGTCTCTGGGAGATGGAGGCCAGCCTGGTCTACAGAATGAGTTCCAGGACAGGCTCCAAAGCTACACAGAGAAATCCTGTCCCCAAAACAAACAAACAAAAAATCATACTAACACCAATAATCCATGTGTCCTTGAGCATATTTTAAGAAGCACTTAAACTCCCTGGGCCCCAGTTTCATTGCCTGTCATATGCAATGAAATGCATATGCATGTCAAATGCATGACAGAGGTGCATGAACTTAAAATAATAGTGGTTCTATGACACCAAATACTATAAGGGTAATTCTTAAGAAATGTATGGTGGGCCAGATGGTGGTGGGCACACCTTTAATCTCAGCACTCAAGAGGCAGAGGTAGGCGGATCTCTGAGTTCAAGGCTAGCCTGGTCTACAGAGTGAGTTCCAGGACAGCTAGGATTACACAGTGAAGCCCTGTCTCCAAAAAAAGGTGAAGAAAGAGAGAAATATACAGGTAGGCAAATGTATTAGTCACTGTAGTCTAACTAAACAACTCCACAACTCAACGGCTTACTTGAACAGTCTGTGGTATTCCAATGACTGACTGGTGCTGACGGCAGTAATAGTGGGTGTTTATACTGAGGAATCCACAGCATGATGTTTTCACAGATCAAAGCTGTTTCCACCTGTCTCCCGTGGCACTCCTGTCTTCTAATCTCTCTGAGTTCCCTTCCAGGATCTTCGCAGTGAACCAGCAAATGTAGATAACGGTGCTAAAGATTGCTTTTGAGGCTAAGCCTGGAATATATCACTCCTGTTCATAGTTGAGCAATCAGAACTTAGTCATATGTTCCCATCTAACCTGATTAAGGAGTTTTAACTCAGCTATGTACCCAAGAGTGAAAAAGAAAAATGACTTGGTGAACATGGAAAGGTCTGTCTGTGAGTGTCCCTGCCTGGCCACCCAGTATCGGGCTCACTATTTCTCCCTTTTGCAGAACACAATACTCTTCTCAACGGAGACTACCCAAGGTCCTACCCTGCACAGAGTCCCTTATCTCAGAAATATGCCCTGTCTTAGCTATTTTTCAGTTTCTATGGTAAGTCACAACCAAGGCAAGTTATAAAAGAAAGTATTTAATAGAGCCTTATTGTTTCAGATGGTGAGTCCACGACCATCATGGTGGGAGCACGGTGCTGGAGCAGTAGATGAGGGCTTACATTCTGATCCACAGGCGTGAGGCAGAGAGAGCTAACTGAAATGACTTGGGACTTGGGAAACCTCAAAGCTTGCCCCCATCTATACGACTCCTCTAATGAGGCCACACCTTCTAGTCCTTCCCAAACAGTTGCACCAAACTGGGGACCAAGTACTGAAACAGATGAACTTGTGGAGGCTATTCTCATTCAAGCCCCTACATCCCTGGTACTCTGATTAGGTATAACTGTGGCCGTTTGTAGACTTGGACCCATGGGGACCACTCCCCAATGTACTGGGAAGGCAGGATCTGGAGGATCTCAGTGAAAGTTTTCACTGTCAAGGGGAAAGATGGATGTCATGGCCATCACCAGGCTAGAGTGGTCCAGGAATGCCAGAGAAATGGCGCAATGAAGATCATTGCTATGGACGGGATGCAGTTGGAGTGTCACTCAAGTTTCTGTTGTGGTTAAACGACTGATCTCTGGGGTGGTACGATATTAGGAAGAAGGGTTAGTTTTCTTGAGCGGTTCCTTTGGGAGTTCTTGGAAGATCGTTGTTATATAGGAAGCAAGCCTATCCTGGTCATCCTTTTTAAGTGGGGAGTCCTATTGAGATAAAGGGAGAAGGGGAAGGAAAGGAAGAGAGAAAGAAAGAAAGAAAGAAAGAAAGAAAGAAAGAAAGAAAGAAAGAAAGAAAGAAAGAAGGAGAGGGAGATGCAGAGAGAGAAAGGGAAAAGGAAAAAGAAATAGGCAGAGTTTCACCTTTAAAGAGACCGGTGTGACACAGGACATATATGATGCATTCTGTCAGGCCCTCAAGGGATGGGGCCAGGTTCGTCTGGATGCTAGCATTCTTCTATTCTTTATTTATTTAAAAAAGGTGAGAAGTTAGGTGTGGCAGGTTAGGGAAATGAGGGTATTGAGTTCTCAAGACTACTTCCTGTTGATCTGGGGCATTGACCATCTTTGGGGGACCTGAGAAAGCTGGGGTGCTGGTCACATCCTAGGGTATCTGGTTGTTTTACTGGTTATGTGGAACTGTCTGGTACCTCTTGAACCTGGCAAGATGCGGGCAGAGCAGAGGAAAAGGTTAAGTTAAGGAAAAATATTTTCCTTAGGTTTGGTAATTGAGGAAAAGGATGTCAAGACCAGGGAAAGGTGGGGAGGCTTAGGCTGCTTAGGAAGGGAGGTGCATCTGACCTGTTCGAAGCGAATCCAAGTTGACTTCCTGGAACTTACAAGAATTCTTTGAGTGTGTGAAAACAGAAGTCTGGACACATTAGAAATGGCAGTATATTTGTGCCAGAAATGACTTTGATTAAAAGCATTAACAATCTTTCTTCTGTCCAGAAAACTGGGACAGAAGATCCTGCACAATGAAAGGCATCTTTGGTGCCTATATTTAGAAAACACCCAAAGGGAATCTGAAACCTTGAGCGTGTAACTATGATGATAGTGCCGGTTCTCTGCCAGAGCTAGATTAATGGCTTATCAGAAATTTATTGATTAGTGTCAAGATTATCAGCATGTAAGCCTTTTCCCTCAGACTTTCGTAACTGGCATTTGCACACCTTAAAACGCATTCTCAGACCTAAAGCATCTTAGATCCTCACATCCCGAGCTTTGTGCCAGGTCGGCTCCCGGCAGGACCTGCTTCTTTCCTTCATTATGGCATCATCCTAACGTTCAGGGGAAATCTGTCCTGTGAGTTGTCTCTTCTTGAGTCTGGTGACGAGGTAAATTGTGTCTAGACCTTGTATTGTCTCTAGAAGAGTGAGGCCTGTGACCTGAATTTTACACAGAGAGCTGAGAAGGCAGCTGCAGTCTTGGTTCCGCTGGCAAAGCTGACAAAGCTGTTAGTCTTCAAATTGCATCAGAGTTCTCGAGAAGGATAAATTTTACCTGAGTTAATGATTAAAAGTGACAGAGACTTACTTGATTGGCTGCCTAGACAGCCACCCTGGAGTCCTCCATGGTCGCTGAGGGCAGGTCTTAGGGCAACATCCATCTTCCAGCTGGCAGAGGTAGGCCTGCAAGACCCTGGAATAACCCCCAGGCGTCTGTAGAGGAAGGACTCGTGGGAGGGCTTTACCTTTGTCTTGGGTAACTTGAGGCAGTTGGTTCCCCAGTGCCCTGTTGTCCACAGTGTGAGGAGGGTCTTTGCAGCAGTTGAGGTGAAAGACGGGTTTTCTCAGTGGCTAGCACTGCCGCTTGTGAAACAAACTCTGGTTGCAGGGTCTTCTGTTCCCGTCTTCTTTAGAGGAACTGACCTGTCTCTCGACTGAAGTAGCGGGTGTTGTGATCCCAGAGACGGGTAGTTGGAAAGTGATTTGTCAGTCCAGGTCAGGGTCTTTGCTTGCCTCAGGTCTCTCTCCCATGGGTGGGAAGGACCATGGGGAGAGCCTGGCAGAGTCATAACACCAATGTGTGATTATGTGCCAGAGGGACCTTGGTGGGTGAGAGCCCAGAGGCCTCACAGTGGGCGAAAGACTAATGTACCATACAGACAGAGCTTACATGGGAGGTTTTATTGAAATAAAGGGAGTGGGGGAATAAAAGGGAGAGAGAAGAGAGACCTGCTTGCCTCTTCGGAAGAATAGCGGGAAGAACTCTGCTTCTGGTTTTCTGACACATGGCCGCTCTCTCCAACGTCCACACCTGTCACTACCATTTGTCCTTCACTAGGAGCTCCTTGTCAGAAATGAGCTGGCAAAGGCACCATGGGCTTGAACCTCCAGCATCATGAAGCAAATGAACCTCTTCTGAAGCTGAACGTGATGGCACCTGCCTATACTCTCACAGGGCGAAAGCAGGAGGATCACGAGTTCAAAGCCAGCCCGGACTACAAGTGAAAACCTACTTCAAAACAAACATAAGAGAACCAAGGCCTAGGGTCTGTTGAGGTGACTCAGTGGGAAAAGGTGTGACTCACTAAGCCTAATGACGTCATTTAACCCCAAGACTCAAATGGTGGAAGGAGAGAACCGACTCCTACAAGGAAAAACTGGATAGTCTATCTTAAGGCTGGCAATCCCATAAAATGTAACATGAACAAGAGTCGTATCTCATATCCAAAAGTTGGAGAATGGCCATTGTCAGTTTTATCAAACCTAGAACCATCTAGGTCCTAGATTCTAGGAGATGAGCTTCTGGGTATGCCTATAGTGGGTGATTAGGCTAATTGTGGTGGGAAGACCTGCCCGCCGTGGGGGGACACCATTCCCTAGATGGGATCCTGGACTACAGGAAAAGGAGAAGGTGAGCGGAGCACATTCACCACTCTGGTTCCTGACTGAGCCTCATGTGACCAGCTGCCTCTAGCTCCCCCGCCCCCCCCATAACAAGCTGTACCCTTAACTGTGAGACAAAGCAAACCCTTCCCCCATCAGGTTGTTTTTGCCAGGGTATTTTAGCAACAGTAAAAGTCACAGACAACTCTGGAGAAAGATCCCACCTTTCCAGATTAGATCCTGATTGTGTTTTCTGGGAGAAATTCGGGTCTCCAGTTCTCTGGGGATCTAATTCAGCATCGGAGAAAGATTAGGCTTCGGCTCCACATAACAAAGAGGCGTTTGACTTGTGCCAAAGGTTTGGAAATGTGCGTTTATTTTCAAACTCAGCTATGTGACATTCTAAGTTCAGAACTAGCACACCTACCTGGGCGGGGTTAACATGAAGGCCTGACAGCTGGTGACATAGGTCCAGCGTCTCCCTCGCTGTTCCCTCTTCCAGGCTGTACAAAGGAGACAGACTTCATGGTGGCTAGAAAGTGAAGGTCCTTCAGGAAGTGACATCAGTGGTGACGCAAACACATTCCTCTGCAGCAGAAGGCTGGCAATCAGACACTGGAGGCGAAGCAGAAATGTCCGGTTCCAGAGGCATCTTGAATGAAAAGTTTTATTTCATTTTGTTGTGATGTTGGGAAACACAAGGCTGGCTTCCGTGTCACTGGCCATGTGTGGCAGCAGGTGAGCCTGCTTCAAGTTATCCCCCGTTTTCTTGAAAAGGTGGCCCAACGAGCGTGTTTTCAGCCACGTTGTTCTAAGTATGGCTATGGTCTTTGGAGATGTTCTTTTCCTCAGCTGCCCTCACAGCTGGAGTAGTGTGGTTGCTGGTCTAGGCCCCGGGCTCCTGCAGGCTTCAGAGGTCAGCGATGATGCTGAAGCAGTTTGCATATGCTCCCCTTGACTCTGTCTCACCTAGAACGTGGTGGGAATTTGTGGCCCAAAGGACAAAGGCCTCGCTCAAGTTGGACCTTCTTTAGGTGTGGGGTTGGACTGAGACTAGATATTGACCCCCTAGAGTCCTAGCAGCTGCTCTCCCTGCATTCCGTCTGCACCTTGTCTTTGGCTATACAGTGCTTTGCAGCTAAATCTCCTTTGGCTGTATTTTTTCCTATGAAAGATACCAGGTAAACAATCTACCTATGCCCACAAAATCCCACTGCCTCTCTCTGAATCTCATTACCTTTAATGACACATCCTTGGGTTCCTCACTCTGCCATTTCCATCCACTGCAAAGGATGTCCCTACAAAACCAGTGTTTTAATATGAGGCCTGGTCAGGGTTGGTCGGGGGGCATGTCTGTCTGAAAGGAGTGATTGTATGGAGTCTTGTACTTGAACTCGGGAAAGGGGTTGCTGTAGTCTGGTTCCATTCTTGTTCTCTCAGAGTAAACAGAGAAAGATAAAAAACAAGCTGAGATTAGGAATCAATCGTGACAGGTTTCTCATGGAGACAGGAGGGTCCTGAGGGTTATGGTATTGGGAAACCTCATGTTCTAGGTTACTCTCCACCTTTAATGTTCACTTGTTCTTTCAACCAACATTGAATGATTCCCTCCAAAGTGTTTGTCGTGTTATGTACCTACCCATGAGATGGTAAGGCATAGTATTTGAGGGAAAATGTCCAGGGAAGCAGATGTATAAATAAGCTAGACCATAGATACAGGTCAAGGGTTGAAATTTCACAAGTGCCAGAAGCACTAAGCGGGATGCCCCCAGGATGCTGGGCATGGTGAGAACGTGGAAGGCCTGTATGGAGGGGTAGTGTTTGTGACTGGTCCTCAGGAGTGGCGAGAAGAGGACAAGGGCAGGAGAGATGCTCGTGAGCTGACCTACAGAAGGAGAAGCAATTTCATTTGGGAACCACAGCAGGTTTGAAACAGCAGAAGGGCCAGCTGGGCAGGGGTGGGATCAGGCTGGAAGGCGCCTAGCTGAGAGACCATAGGAGAAGGGTTAGGGGTACAGCCCTGAAGCCAGACCACTTACTTACTAGCTATATATGCTTGACAAGTTGTGTCAGTGTGTGTGTGTGTGTGTGTGTATGTTTGTGTGTATGTGTGTGTGTGTGTGTGTATGCGTGTGTGTATGTTCTTGTATCGTTTATGCTTCTGTTTCCTTTTTTGAACAGAGAAAGAGAAACACCGATTTCAGATTTTGTTTTTCCTGAGAACTAAATGAATTACTACCTATATAACACTGAGACAGTTTTGACTCACAATAAGGTCTACATGAGTGTGAGCAACACAAACAATGAAAAGCAACCACCACAGAAGTCCTATCTCTAACTGATGAGAGCCGAATGAGGGTAACAGCCGAGCAGCGGGAGAGACGCTGTGCTGGAGGTGAGATGCGCCCCTTCGGTTTGATACTGAGCAGGTCTTCCAAAGGACACATTTGGGCAGGAAACACCATGAGAACGGCAGCCCTGAGGTGCAAGGCAGAGTGAGAGTCTGGAGTGGAAGGCACACCTTTTCTTACCCAAGGGGTGGGTTAGCTATGTAGGATCACTTTCAAAGGCACTGCACAACCAGGGAACAGACTGTGCCGACGAGCAGCTTCAACTGGCACCGGACATGCAACGCAGTCGTGACTTCTTAGGGCTTTCAAACATCGTCAGAGTGTGTAAAGGGCTCCCTGTAAGGATGCCTGGTGACTACTGTTCCATACCCAGTGAAAACCAATTGCTTGGCACAACATGGCTGCCACTGAGCAGAGCACACTTCCAGAGAGTGGGTGTCTGTGCACAAACATGCTGCGTGTGCAGTCCATATGCATAAAGACACGTTATATATTAACTCACATCTTCCTGCTTCCTTTCGAGCCTGGGGCTACTTTTAGCCTGTGTACTTTTCTGAGGAAGCTTTTCCCATGCTCTGACAAGAAATGGTGATTCTGAAGGAGAGAGAGAAGGCTAAAGAGTGGTTGTGGCAAATGAAGTGGGAAGATATCCACGCTGTGACTCCAAGTCCCAGGTCTGATCCTTATGGTCAGTACTGGCCATTAACTGCAACTCTTCCTGATTATGAAACATAGGGAGGAAAAGAGAGAGCAGGCTTCACGCTGTCCTCTGAATGAAGGGCCTTCAGTTCTCCTAGCCCTCTGGGTCAGGGGCAGAGCTCTTCCCTTGTGTCAGAGTCCTTCATGAAGGTCATTTTTTGTCCACCAGATGCATTCCCAGAGCGGTTTTGCTGATCCCTTCAAAGCATCAGCTTATGATGTGTGAGTAGCTTCCACAGAGGTGACGAGGGGGAAGAGAAAGCCTCCTTGTTCCCCGATGGGATGGGTGGCCACATGGGCACACCTGGGCCTGGCACACTGTACGCGGGGACAGGGTGTGGGGTGAATGCACTAGAGGAGGGCATGGCTAAGGAGTCTGAGGGCCTACTGCTCCGCTGGCTGCTCTTGCTGGAGTCCTGAGCTCCACCACGAGTCCCGCTGGGCCGCGGAGCAGGTGGATCTCCCAGGGGGCCCCTCGGTCTGCTCTGTACAGGAGTTATAGGAGTTGTAGAGCCCAAGCACAATACTCAACACCAGCATGACCGCGGCCATCATCCAGATCACTTGCCAGTGTTGACACAATTTGGGATACATGACTTGTAGGAAATGGACCAGTTCTTCAAGTTTGCTGTCAAAGGAATAGAGAGATTAGTATATTGAGCACATATCTGATGCCCAGACCCATACATCCCTGTCTGAGGATACCTTCTATGCTGTCTAAGGCAGAGGTTCTTAAGCTCAGCTACCCAGAGAATCGCATGGCAGCTCGTATTCAAAATCCCCTTGGTCTTCTGAATGAGAATCCCAGTAACGACCTAAGAATCCCCGGGTGGTTCTGGTCCATACTGTGAGAGGCTCATGCAGACGTCTGTCAACTTCATTATGCCCATCCTCCACTTTGTCCCTCCTTCTCTTCCCCCACTCTCTCCAAACTGTTCTCTCTATCTCTTCCTCTTTGTCTCTCTCTCTCTTCTCCATCTGTCTCCTCCACTTCACTCACGCTCCCCCTTGCTTGTTTCCCAACTTCCTCTCAGCCCATCCTCTCTCTTTTCAGTTTAGTAAAAGGACATTTGATCGGAGTCCCATCCTAGAGGTTTCTGGAGATGTCCTGTGCATTTAAAGCAAGTTATGTATTTCTCTTGTGTCCAGTTCCAACTCATGACCTGCAAAGCAAGATGACCAAGGGTTACTACACCACAGAGGTGGGGCGAGTCACCGAGGGCTTCCTGTCGGCCACACGTCTCGCAAACACGCTGCGGTACTCAGGCCCCTGGCTCAGGAAACTTGAACAGAGAACTGGTGAGAAGTAGATGGGTTGCCATGGGACAAAATCCTCAGCCAAAGCCCTCCTAAGAAAGGGCCCAGGTCCTTGAAATGCTTGCCTTGTGTGCCGTGACCACAGGGACAGCAGTTAGTTTCGTGTCCCTGCGGGAACCCCACCAAGCAATTTCAGCCTCACAAGCCATTGCAGACAGCTTGGCACACTTGCTTCTAAGAAATCACTGGCGGTTTATGCGATTACTGGGAAGGAAGAGATGGGAAGTACAAGCTTCCTTCCTTCTAGCCCTATTTATCTGGAGATCCCAATGGGATATAATTGGAATTCAAAATAGAGTCATTTTTTTTAACTATACTTTTGTGCTCCAAAACTGGCTGCTGGTGTGGGGAGAAGACCACTCTAAATCTACACTTACAGATTTACTTTCTAGTTACACTTATGGAGGGGGGAGTATGCCCACTAGTGTGCATGTGTCTGTGGAGGCCAGAGGTATCAGGTGCCCTGGAACTGGATTTAAAGGAGGTTGTGAATTTAGGTCCTCTATAAGAGTAGAATGTTCTCTTAATTTCCAAGCCATCTTTCCAGCCCCTAGATCCATCCTCAGTCTACGAAAGAGGTTGTCAAGATCTGGGTACGTGATCCTTAAGTGGTCGCCTAGTTTTCGGCCTATAAGAGAAACTGAAAACAAAATTAAGCTAGAAATAGAATTCCTTTGGGTCAATGTTTGATGCTAACCCTTCTATTTTCAAAGTAGTATTGGACCTGCTTAACTATCGTTCACACCCATAGAGTACATCTGAGCCAGTGGTGAGCGAAAAGAGCCAGTTTTACAGTACATCCTGTGAATCTCAGCTGTGTTACATAAAAATGCCACAGACCACGTTAAGAAGGTGCTGGGTTGCTTTGCCTGAAGTTCTTCCAGAGATTGACATTTATAATAGATGGCTTCATTGCATATAAAAGTCTCCTACTGGCAACTCTGGTCCTAAGGACTCCATAGTAGGCTGACTATCATCTGGCATTAAGCATGACAGCTCTTGGGACCCATCTGGCTGGGGTTATGGGTGAGAGAGGAACTTTCTGACAGTGGGTGTGCAGTTTATATGCTAAATGTCCTGAGAAGATGGTCTGAGCCTGAAAAGGTGAAGTTGTACCCCCGTGCTGAAGGCCGAGGACCCTCTGGAGGGCGCTACTCAGGTCGGTGTCAGTCATCGGAGGATGCTGTCGCCTCAGAACCTAAAGCAGCTGTAATCAGGTGTGAAGGATGGGGGTCCCTCTGGGACCCCCAATGGGTCCTCTAAAGGCTCAGGTGCTGCAAATAGCCACTGCCCAGGATTGCTCACAAGATGGGCAGAAAAGGACCCAGGCAAAACCTTGTGTCCCCCCGGCTTTCATGAGACAGGAGGGAGCTGCCAACTACCAGAGATGGAGTTAGCTAGATAAGGCTTTGTAAGCCAGACTGTTTATAGTCATGTGCTTGCTCTGTTTATTTCTCTTTTGTTCTTTTGCTGTGTGTGGAAGTGTTAGAAATTCTAGCCTGACTTAGATGAATTCAAGGTGCCAAAGGAAGGGCTTTTGTGCATGCTTGGGCTTAGCAAAGGCAGCCTGGTGGTCTGAAAATTAAATGCAGATGACCCCCAAGAAGGAGGTGAGATGTAAGGAGGACCGGATGCAGTTGCTTGGAATCAGGGTTGTGCTTCCATGATTAAAGTTGAGGCTCTTTCACCAGAGAGGGCATGTTTACCTCGAGGAAGCATTTTCCCTGGCGTGTTGATAAAGCTCTTCCCTTGGCAATGGGGTTGACCCAGGCAGGCCAAGCCCCCTCCTGCTGGTTGCTACTTCCACCACTGGGCTCTGTTGATGGCATCCACAGGCTTAGAAATAGAGTTACCATCTTTCTAATCTTCCCTTACTACCTTATTCATTACATGTGAGTAGGTTCTGGAGCTTGCCAGCAAGAGACTCAGTTACAGACACTGTGTCTGGGATCAGTGACAGGTGATCATACAGCTAATGGTGTTGTCTGGAAATGTTCCTAACCCCGGGATAGTTAAGGGTATCTAAAAGAAAATTTCGGTGAAGTTTTCCAAGGTTACTATAACTACAATTGAGGGGGAAAAAAACAAAACAAAAGCGAGACTTATGGTTTTGATGTACTAATAGAGATAGTTGGGTATAAACCAAGAAATTGGGGCTTTTTTTTTTTTTTGAAAATCTAGGGTGTTGCTCTGTCCTTATATTGACAGAGCAGTGCACACCTCTTCTGAGGAATAGTTGATTCTGTCCTTAAACACATTCCTGTGGGTGACAGTTTTGGCCGATAGGGTTGTGACCTTATTACACAGAATACCCTGCAATGAGACAAGGCTATTTCTATTGTTCTTGGTCTGGAGAAGCATCTCAGTAGAAGAGTGCTTGTCTGCCATTTGCAAGGTCCTGGGTTCAGTCCCTAGTGCCAGTTTTGCTTGACTTTGAATTCACTGTTCTGTGCGGTAAAGCGAGACCTTCGGCTGTAGTGGGCCAAGTCATAAGATCCGGACTTTCTGTGTTCCTTCTCCTCTTCCACTCACCAGAGGAAGATAGCTTGAAACACAAAAGATATTGTTTCCAACCTAAAGTGAGGACACCATGCAAATGACCAAGTATTTGGTCATCATAGCAGGGGCCTATAAGAGACTGAACTTGGCCACTGAACTAAGTTTGTTCCCTGCCTCCCATGTTCCCTCTGCTTCCCTCTGCTGTTCTTGGTTTTGTGCAAACCCTCTCTAGGAACTCAGGTCAGCCCCTTCGATCTGAACTCTTCTATGGTGGTGGCTGTGGAATGGGCTGACCCCAGCTTGGATGGGAGCCCACTGAAGGTCCTTCTCCCTTTCTCAGCTCCTCAGAGCTATTAGTGGCTTTCTGCCGTGCCCTCATCCACCTCTGATGCCTCAGTTTTCGCAAATGTGCCATTTCTAACTTAATTTTCTGGAGTCAGTGCCTTCTTGAATTCTGTTGGCCACCAGACCTACTGCCACCCAGGAAGGGCATTTCCATCTGTTTTGGGTGATTCAACAGGTAAATGACTTGAAACCGATTTGGTATCCAAGTGTAGGTTTCCAACCTGCTTCTCTGCTCCTTCTCTTCCTCCTCAGTTTCTTCTACCTCCGCTGGTTCCTCAGGGCTCTCTGTCTTCTGCTCTTCCTCCTCCTTCAGCTCTTGAAGTTCTTCTGTCTTCTTTACCCCTTCCTGGTATCTGGAGGGCAAAAGGGAACAGCTGAGTCAGGGAGGACCAGACACAGGGCATTCTTGCCCCAGACCCGGGGGAGTGGACTCAAGAACTTCCAGTCATTGTGCACTTCCTGTAGCTCCATACAACAGGAAAAAGCTGGGAAACTCTGCTGAGCCCCAACACAGCTCATGTCAGTACCATTTCCCCTCACTGCTCAGCCATCCTTCCTGTTTATGTGACAGTGTGACAAACTGACTGAGGAAAATGTGGGACAAGATCTACTGCTGGTCACCATTCTACAAAACATTCCCCAGAGATAAGATTGTATTTTCCCTGTGGAACCTGGGAGCTTCACCTTTAGGAAGAACCTCAGCTCAGGGGTGCGGGAGTGTTTTTCAGAAATGGCAGGCCTTGACATAGGGAGGTACCCAGAAAATATTCACAAAACCGACGGATGGACTTCGCTTCTGTGTTTTCTGAGGAGACCCTCCCGTAAAAGCCCCCCATGATTTCTCTCAGGATCAATATTTCCCTGAACATATCTGCTAACTTGTCTGACAGCCAGGTGGCTAACTTTATTAGTTTGGCTGGGATGACCCCACCCACCACTGAGTGACTGCCACACAGATACCATGGGGTTCTGTGCCCATGGTCAGCTGAACCTCCTGCAGGAGTCATGGGGCACCAGGCTAGGTTAAAGGTGAGTCTCTATCTTGAGTCCTGGACCTTTGGTCCTGCCCAGTGTTCTCTCCCAGTGGCTGGTAGCTGGCACCGGCTGCTAATACAGCTCATTTAGTGATAGGCAGGGGTGGAAACAGCGGGGCAAGGGCAGGAGGAGGAGCTCTGACTTATAGGGAACAGCAGGGCGATTCTAGGCAGCACAGCTGAAGGTGCCCCTGGGCACTGCTGGCAGCAACATGATAGCTCTGCACATGTGTCAGGAAGCCTCAGGCAGCACCAAGAGGAACCTAGCTCAGGCCCCTGATGTTTAGACATTTCTAGGCAGTAGCAGCATGCCTGAAAAAGAGAGGAGTCTAGCTGAAGCCGGCCATTGTCTAAGCACATCCTGTGTCCTGCTTCCCTGTGTAGGCCTTTCTTGACTCAAAGAGGCTTTTGGCCCATTGACTACTTCCCCAGAACTCCTCAGAAACAAGCCAGGGTGTGGGAAGCTCACTTCTGAGACCTGGCAGGTGCCTTCGGGGTGGTGAGGTCTGACTCACCCTTTGTTGTAGGCTTCTTCCTCTGCCCTGGCCTTGGTCTCCTGGCTCACGTCCTCCAGGCAGCTTGGGAGCAACGCGGGGGCACAAGCTTCACAGTCAGCCTCTGCATTTGTCTTTCCACTAGCAAGGGGAGGGAAGCACGGGGCGTCATTGCAGGGAGAGACTGGACATCTGAAGACAAAACCCAATCTTTGGCCTGGTTCCCGATTCAAAGAGGAAACTCGGGCTCTTTCACGGGCTTTCGGGTTTTAAAACATCTACCCTGAGACGAGATTTTATAAAGACCCACTCCATGAATCTTCCCCCAGACCACTGAGGAGGCAGACACTACACCAGCTCCCTTTGCCAGATGCAAACCCAAATCCAACTTTATTCTTATTTCAGAAGGTGCTGTGGGTAGAAAGGCAAGTGCCACAGACGACAGGACACTGCCAGAAGGAGGCAGACTGAAGTACCCTAGATCCTTTCTTTCTCAGAGTCAGTGTCTGTGACTTTCAACTGTTCCTTCAACTGTGCACTGAGTCTGATAACGCGACAGACACAAGGCAATGCGGAATTGGAAAGAGGAAAAGACAGCCCCCATTTTTACCAATTCCGAGTTTCACAGAAGGAAAAAGTAATCATATTAATTATGAATTATAATATTTATGGAAGAAACCATTCAGTGACAGAAAATGAAAAAGAGAGAGTGTGTTTAGAGTGGATGGTCCAAAAAGGCCTCTCTGAGGCGCTGATATTGAAGCCCCAGGCTCAAAGACGAGCCATGTAGGCAAAGATCAGCAGAGGCAGAGGACGGAGGCTAGAAAGACTTTGGGACGCGATGAGTGCTGTAAACCTGCGCTGCTGAGAACAATCAATATGGTGGGAGTTCAGTTTGGAGCAGAATAAACTGCCAAGCATATGAGGGGTCCAAGAAGAAACGCTGAAGACAGTTGGAGATGTCCAAGGGAGGCAGAGATAGCCACTTGATAGAAATATAAAGAATATAAAGAATGGATGACGGCCTAAAGACAGAACACAAGGAGAGAGGAGCAGAGATCTCAGGACAACGCCCAGTTATTGTCAAGCTCATCTCAGGAGTAGGAGGAGGGGTGGGAAGGAGGAGAAGAAGGAGGAGGAGGAGGAGGAAGAGGAAGAGGAAGGAAGGAAGGAGAAGGAGGCTAAAAAGACAGAAATAATGCTAGAGTCAGGGAGAGAGGGCTCACTGTGCTTCACTGCGTCTTCTGAAAGTCTGGGTCCTTGGTGGGGTTTGATGATGCAAGGGTCACATGGAGCCTTGAAGTAATAAGGAAAGGGAAGGGAGAAAGGTACAGCCACGATTGGACTGGGAAGGGGAGTAGTGAGTGCTTTGGCTCAGCCAAACAAATGGGTCAAGGGTGCAAGCCTATTCAAAAACAGGTAGAAAGGGCCTGGCAGAGAGAGTGAGAGAAGATGGTCAAAGGGACAGTACCTTTGACTGAAGGAACCGAGACCTATAAAAAGCAAGAGAAACCTCTCCTTAACTGGACAAAGAGCAGAAGAGAAGGGCAGTGGAGTGGGGTCCCAATAAACAGAGGCGAGCTGCCTCCTATCCCAATGGTGAAGCTGAAACGCTAAGGCCAGGTTTTTTGCAGAGAATGAGAGCAGAGAGTCTGAGAAGCCCACAAAACAGCAGCGAATACAAACATCGTGTGGCAAAGTAGGAAAGCAGGAGCACTAGCGAACCACCTCAGGATGGCTGGGCACGCTTGGAGCCCCTCTAATGCTCGAGTAGGATCACAAGTTCAAAGGAAGCACCTAATAACCTAATAAGATGGATTTTGCAGCCATCTTGGTGCCCGTATCCTGACTAGAAGCGATGGCGTCATGGAGGAGCCCAGAAACAAGACCGCATTGCAAGCTGAGCCTCCTCGCAGGAAGCTACGGGGTCACCGCTGCTTTTCCTTAGGCAGAGGCCAAATCTTCAGCTTGCTCTCTTGGTATCAATTTGCTATCTCTTAGCTTTCCCTCAGACCTTGAAAGCATATGTTTCGTTAGGCTAAAAACCAAACCCCATCATGAACAAGAAAGATAACACTCTAAAAATACCAGCTATTCATAACATTCCTCCGCCTGCAAACTATACTCTCCACTCCCTTCCCTGTGACCTTAGCCTAATGTGCAGTTTCCTATTTGTCCAATGACTGGAGCAAGCTGAGAAAAACACAGCTAGAGTCAAGGGTGGGAACGGCCATTATCTCACTGAGCATATTTATACATTACAAGTGAAATATGGTCACCACGCTTTTATTTTTTTTTCTCTATAGCTGCCCACATTAGAGGGTCCTTAAAGCTAAACAAATATGAAGAGAATGTGCCAGAGACAGACCTGGTTCAAACTCCAGCACCCCAGGCTCGGAGACCTTAAATACCATCCTGAGGCTGTAAAATCTTGTAATTCCATTGCCTGGCAGGAATGGGGATATTCTAATAGAAAAGACACATGTAGCCTCCCCTTGGCTATCAGACTGTTGGAACAATGTACCCCAAGAAAGTGAAATCCTCTCGGGGATCTCATGCTGGTAGAGGCCTAGGCCAGCCAGACGGGAAATAATTCGTCTGCCCCCAAAAGACTTGCAACTTGCCAGATTACCTTGCAGGGCAGAGTGAAGCTGAGACTTTGGCGGGTCAATGATGGGAGGGACCACACCTTGACCAGAACTGTCCAGTTATGCTCATCTCTGGCCTCCTACCTAAACCCAACCCTCCTGTTGGGACTAAAGATATATTAGGCAGAGGGTCACTGGATATCTGTTTTACTTCCCACTATAACTGTATTGAATAAATCCTTTTCTGTTTTCTACTATTAATTTGGCCCTTTTCATTGGCTGATTGGGTTATGACCTTAACTGCAGTTATGATTAGTCTGTGGCAGGGCTCAAATTCGGCCCTGTTGCAGTTGATGCTGACTCATGCTTTAACCATGCTATCTACTGTCCTTGGGAGGCGTTCCTTCCTCACAAGTGGATCTCTCATCTCCACTCTGTACAAAGGCAGAATGCCTTCCCATTGGCCTATCCCACCCTCTGATCACGAAGGTGCCTGATGCAGATTAGAGTGCTTCCATTACTCCAGCTTCACAGTGACTTGTCAAATCCTGCGCAAGAAGTTAGTGAAATGGACAGATCCTATCTGTAAATGAGGATTTCCTGAGAGCCCAGAATTCGGCTTGGGCTAAGAGAATCTGCATTCATCTCTGTAAACAAGAGCTGGGCACAGTCTGTGCCGTGGCAGGGATCACTGTGTGGACTGCGGCGTCCTCAGCCTGGAATCCTGGGCCTTCTGTCTGAGTGATTCATTAAACCGGGGCTGTGTTTATCACTGTGCCCGGCTCCCAGTCACATGAGGTCTGTTTGTCCAGAGTAAACTGTTGGCCACGCTGGTTATCAGTTTATTGGCGACTAGTATTTGAAAGGGATTTCAAGCTTTTCCAAAGGGCAGATCTTGCCTCTCGGACTCAGCAATGTTGCTAAATCATCCCAATTCAGTGGCTTCCTTTGATAAGCCCACCCCAGAGAACTTGAGCTATAGAACCTTCCTTGCTTCCTTGCACCCAGTCCCAGATTCTTGGATGATAATTATCCTGGGGTTTAATTTTCTCTAGAACACAATCAATATGGGGATAGATCATTTGCTGTGTAAATTTAATGACCCTGGCTGCTTCAAAAGCATAGAAGAGAATGATTTTTAAAACAGTAGCTAACGCTGCACTGTGACACGCCAGCATCATGGCTTTATCATAAAAATAACCCACTAGCACCCCACACCCCAGCTGTGCTGATCCCTTTGTGAGTGGCTCTGCATACACCCTCTCACACCCTGCTCTGCCCCACTCTCCCTGCCCATCTGATCACCGGGCGCTCCCCCAGAGAGTTCTCTTCTCCTCCCTTTCCTCTGTAGCCTCTCTGAATGTCCTCTGTTCTATTAAGAGGTTAAGAGCATGAGCAAGGCCATCTTCTAGCTGTGTAAGCTCAGGGAGCATATCTCTGGGTATCATTTTCCTCATCAATAAGACAGAGATGTTAATAATGGATCTACCAATGAGGTCCTTGGCAGAGCTGACAAGGAATGGACAGCAAGCAGGGGCAAACGCACCTGGCACACAAGGCATGAGTTTTGACTGAGAACAAGAATCGTCATCACCACCACCACAGACATCATCTTTCTTTGAATTCACCACTACCTAGGGATGCCGTTAACTTCCCAGTCACCTAGTTGGTGATAAAACCTCTAGGCTTAACTTTAAAACCAGATTCCTAGGTGGAAACATTTTCTGAGCCCCACCCCATCTTACACCGACACAGGGTTAGGGGCACATTTTCTCATGTGTTGGTCCCTTAGTAACTTGCACTTCCTTAGGACAACATTCATCGTACCGTGGAAAAATAGGCTGCTTCCTGTCTGACTTTCCCACTAGACTAATGCTCCTTGAGAAACTGACCCTGAGAGCACTTGTCAAAGGAATGAAAGAATAAAAGGCCACGGACACACAGCTCCCCTATGTGTATAAGGATAACTAAAAACCATTCTCAAACATATGTTTAAATCTATAGATCTCTGGACCTTGGCTGAGTTGGAGAGTGGTTTGTTATGAAATGACCTACAAGAGCAAGACTCGGCTTGCTCTGAGCTCACACGGGACAGACAGTATGATCAGCTGCTCTGTACTATGGACTGGCCAAAGGCCATGTGATTGTACTGTCACATGCTTATCCATTTCCCTCCCTTCTCTGGAACACTTAGGAAATGGGATCATTTAACATGAAGCTCAATGCAACTACGTGTATCTGATAAACGATTTCTCTTCAACAATGTGACTAGGCTAACAGGAATTGGTGCATCTGTATACAAGTAGAGAGGATATGAATTCACTTTCTCTTGCACACTGTTCCATTATTGGCCACTTAGGGATCTATGATGCTTCCAGGTCTGTGCATTTGGAGGAAAAAAAATCAATGAACATCTTTTCTAACTCTTCTGGAAAGAGCCACTATGGTGTGGAGTCTCCAGTGTTTCTCCTTCCTTTAGACCTCCCTTCCCTCTTTGCAGCCATCTTTCTTTGGATATATTTCCAGTAGGTGGGTCAGTCACAGCATCCACATGGCCAATGAGCTAGCCTGGGAATGGGCAGGGGGAGACTACAAACTCATTCTGGGAACCTGTGGCTTGACTCTGAGTCTCACTTTGACCTTTTAGCTCCTGATTTTAAGCCTATGAAAGGTGCCACCATCCCTGATCCTCACTCATTGATACTGAGATTTGGGGCTGCCCATCAGATTCTCTTACAGAGGATATCTCCAGTTCTTAAGAGTCTCCAGTGTCTTGGATTTGAGTTCTCAGCTGGCCTGAACACTAGTTCTAAGAGAGTCTATCGAGGAGAGCATGGACCTAGATCTTCTGCCTTGGCTGGGTCTGTTGGCCTAGAGCTGGGGAGAGTCTCTTGACGGAAGTGCTCGGAAGTGGACTGAGGAGCCCAGCGTGCAGGCTGGCAGAATTTCAGAGAGTATAAGCGATCATTTCTAGGTAGCTCAAAGGCTCTATGTGGTAAGGTTTTATGGCCTTAGATACTTGTGTTTGGTGACGAATTTGTCATCTCTCGAGGTTTCCTGGAGTGACTAAGAAGCGAGGAAGGAAGAGGAAACACTCCGTGATGAAAAGGATGACAACAGGGACAAATATTGACAGAGTGGAGACTTGGCAATCCCACACCCCGAGAATGAGGAACACAGGCCGAGCCTGGAGGCAGGGAGCTCGAGACCATCTCTGAACTGACAGGGGACTCAAGCAGTCACATTCTCTGCCAGACAACACAAGGCCCACTCACAACAACAGGAAAGCAAAGGCTAGAGCTGCCCCAAGGCAGAGAAAGAGAAATGAGGCCGGTGCTCCACCAACTGAGGAAAGACACAAAGAGAAAGTACTGAGAGGTGGCAGCTGTGATCCACATGTTTTCCAACAAGCAAATGAAGGAAGTTCAAAAAGTAAACTGTAAGCTGCCCACACCCCCTAGCTCCCCGCCCCACCCTGGCCCAGAAGAACGGCCTTAACACTCTGCCTTGGCATGAGAGGGTCTGCCGACTGCATGGGTGCCTGGGAAAGTCAGGACCAGGAGGCCCTCTCAGCTCTCGAGCCAATGTGTATCTTCCTTTCTACCTCTTGACAGAAAGTTGTTTTTTTTTAAAAAAAAAAATGAATTTACTCTGTCCAAAGTCACTGTGTTTTGGGGGCCCCCTCCCCCTTCCCAGGATAGTTTAAACCGTATAATGGTTCTATCCCCAAATGGAAGAGATGTATCTATCTTCCTCGAGATACAGTCTTGTCTGGGGTCCTGGGAACCAGCAGCCGTCTGTTACAAGCCTGACAACGGCATCAGCATGACGTGGCCGGAGTGAAGGGAACCACAGAGAGAAGGATGCTGCCACCCTGGAGCAGCCTGCTGTGCACCTGTTATATTAGCCCTGTGGGATTGCAGCTGCTTTCTGTCCACAGCCCCAAAGATCCCCAGCTAACAAGGATGCCGTCTGCCTCTCTGAGGATCTTAGGCAGGGTGTACTTGGCCTTGGTCGTAGTATCTTCCTGGTCTAAGAATGTTGCAAAGTACAATCTGCAATCTTTGTGGACCTCAGAGTCCAATTCATTTCCTCTGGAAATGATTTTCTTTCTATTTCATTTTCGGGTTGAGGATGAGAATAAAGAAAGGAAGTTGGGGATGCTTTTCTAAGGAACCCCCAAATTAAGTGGAAAATAGAAAGACTTACTTTTCCAAAAGAGCAGGCAGCACCGGGGGGACGGCTATGTTTCCTTTTCCATTGGGCGATTCAGACTGGATGGAAACAGGAGCCAGAACTGAGGATGAGGAATGAAGGAAGCAGCCAGGGCTGCCAGGCTTCAGGTGATGCTGGGGAGGGCGGCTGCTGCCCCTTCTCTTTCTATCCTTTTCCCCCAACTGCTTTCCAGTCTGCATTCCGAGGCTCCATCCTAGCAGGGAGACTCAGTTTCCCTGTCCCATTTCCTGAGAGCCAGAAGGCCTCTTGCCAAATGAGGGTCTAGAATTCCCTGGGATGGACTCACATAAACATCACTGTTCCCACAGGAACTATCCCAAGTACAAAGGCCAGGAGATGCCTGATGTCACATGTGCTAAGCTGGCAGACATTTCTGTACAGTTTTCCTAGGAGCCCTTGCTGCTCTGCTACAGCAGCCATGGTTACTGTGTAGGCTCTCAGCTCTGTGCCTACCCTAGGATCACCCGGAGGGGGTTGGATGTACAGAGGTTTGGGGTGGAACCCACGGTCAGGATGCTTTCAATGCAGCTTTTGCGATGTTAGAGAACAGGTTCTTGTCAACCACTTTGTCTAAAGGTACACAGTTGCAAACCACAGATCTATTGAAAAGGTTTGTTGCTAACTAACCTTTCCTGGTCTCTTAAAAACATTTCAGTTTTTTAAACTTTTCTTTTATGTGCATGGATGCTTGCCTGAATGTATGTCCATGCACCATCGACTTGGATTGCACATGGAGGCCATAACAGGGTGCTAGACATCCTGCACCTGGAGTTAGAGGTGGTTGGGAGCTACCATGTGGGCACAGGAAGTGAACTGGGGTCCTTTGGAAGAGCAACTAAGAGATGCTGAGCCATCTCTCCAGGCTCTTGAAGTTTCCTGGTTTCAAAGATTTCAGAGTTGAAGTTCATTTCACAGACAAAATCCTACAAGGTAGTAGAAACTTAGCAGTGGCCGGTCTCTTGTCCACTAACTTCTCTCTGCACAGCCGTGCTTGTGTGCACAGTGGCCAGAGAAATCACTGGGGAAAGGGGTTCAGAGTGTCAGAGAGAAGTCATTAGGCCCACAAAGACTGTAGGTATAGAAAAGATTTGCTTGTATATAGAAATTGCCTTCATCGGGTATGAAATGGACATTTTTCTCTACCTTTCTTTTTATAACCTATAGAAATAGTAAAAAAAAAAAAAAGCAACAAAGAAAATTAAGTGATTTGTTTTATCACTGTCTAGAAATAACCATTACTATAATGGTTAATTTTTAATTATTAGCTTGCCACAGCCTAGGGTTGCCTGGGAAGACGGCCTCAGTTGAGGGACTGTCTGGATGAGCTTGGCCTGAGGTCATGTCTATGGGGATTGCCGACTAATGCAGAAAGGCCAAGGCCATTGCCGGGGTAACCAGCTCTGTTCTGTGGTTGTGATGGCTGAGTTCCTGCCTTGATATACCCTTACTGATGAACTATAACCTGCAATTGTAAGTCAAATAAACCCTTTCTTCCCTAACTTTCTTTTTGTCAGGATATTTTATCACAATAGAAATGAACCTAGAACAATTATTAAATTTCAAATGATTTCTTCCATAATATTTTGTGATCTACATAGAGACAACATTTTTAAAAGTACAAAATAGGAAGCTAGAGAGATGGCTCAGTGGTTAAGAGAGCTGGCTGTCCTTCCAGAGGACCTGGGTTTAATACTTGTATGGCAGCTCACAACTCTCTGTAATTATGGTTCCAGGGCTTCTGGTACTCTCACCCAGACATACATACAGGCAAAATACCAGTGAACATAAAATAAAAATAAATTATAAATTATAAATATTTTAAAAGTATAAGACAGAATTATTTTACATATACTCCAATATATGTATTTAGTATATATAAAAACTTTCATTTCTTTATAATAAATCATGGGTGACAATCTATAGAAATTCTCTATGGTGATATTCCCAGTTTGCTTGCTGATATCCTATTGATAAGCCCTGGGCTGCCGTCAACAACACTGCAACGAGTCAGACATGGTAAGACACAGCTCGTGAACTCAGACTCTGCAATCCAAAGCCTTGCTTCAGATAAAGCTGACGTGACCCACTGAACCCTGCAAAGTTTGCTCGCTGGTTTCTTTAAGCACCCCCTCCTTAACGAATCATGTTTCTGTTCAAAGGGGTGGCTGTTTTGAGGTACACCTCCTGAGCCCTCTGTGCTCAGCTTGCAAGTCTCAAAACAGTGGCAAGGTTTATGCTGGGTTGCTTTGTGACCTTCACCCATATTCTCTGCTGGAAATTTCCTGTCTCTGTTGACCCTGCCGCCATCTGCATCCTCTCCGTAGCGGTGGTGTGAGAAAAATGTAGAAAAGGACAGAAGGCAGGTGACATTATACTCACCAGAGCCGGTAGGGAGGGGATGGGCGATGAGCTGGGGGCTTGGCCAGGAAGGTTCAGGGCATTAAACTTGGGAACCACGGCAACACTGACCCTCCGGCGGGGCATGTTCTATGGGAAGAGAAGCGATTCAGGCCTCCTGTCTTGGGAATAACAACAGTCATAGTTCTGAGGGTATTGGAAAAGCTTGCTAGCCTCTAACATTCGGTAGTTAGTTTGGTTTGGGGGTGATGATTGTGTTAGGAATCAGTGTGGAAAGAGGGAACCAAAGGTGACCAAAATTTTCTGTTGGTCATGAGTGATCTCTCAACACATCTCCATTTTACAGAGAGACCCTGTTCTCTGAGTAGCATCCTAGACTGTGTGTAAAAGCTGCCCATGGTGAAGCCATGGTGGATGCATCAATTCAGGGTCACTTACTGCAGAGCTGGGAAGGCTACACCTGAGCAAGGAAGATGGGGTATCAGGGGCCACATAAGCAAGTGTGAAAGCTGAATACTCTGCTGGTCCCCATAGGGCCAAGAGTGAATGACCTCTTGAGAGACCACGAAAACTTCTGTCATGCTTCTCCTGGGAGCCCTGGAATTCCTTGGCCATGCATACCTTGCCCATCGTGAGGGACATAGATCGCGCCGTGCGTGGGACCCCATCTTCTATAGTAGGAGAGAACAGAAGAAAACGGGTGTGAGTTTCAGGCTGGGGTCCAACAGGCCACAGACAGGCAGAAATTAAGCCAAACTACTTGTGCATCATAGCTGGCTTTGCAGGGATGGCTCAGAGTTCTGGGCATCAGGGATCCTTCATTGTCTGATGCTTTCTCCTCTAAGAAAGTCACCTGCAGCAAACAGTTTATTCTAACTCCGCAAGACACCCCGGGAAGCCCCAGTTGGGGGTTTCTGGGCTTCATTTGACATGACTAGAGGTTCTGGGGCCACCCAAGACGGTGTGTGGATAGGACTCAGCACAAAGACTCATTCCACGTTCACTCAAAGGACAGACAGCTGGAAACACTATAAACAAGAAAGATTTGGTGTTCAGAATAAAAGTTTGTTATCTGAAGTAGTTTCAGTGTGTTACCCACACTATGACTAAGTGCAAAGGGAGCTATCACATAAGACCTTTCTCTCCCTTCTGTGTATATTAAATGATACAATTCATACTCAGTATTCAGCACTGTACCTGCATAGGAGTGCAGCCAGAAAACAATTGGATACATGAAAAATATTTTTATTTTTCAAAAGTGTGAATCTTGTCCTTTTGAATATATTTCCAAGTATGATTTGCCTAAAAATTATCAGAAAGGTATCTTCCAGGCCAGTTGAATTTGATTTGGCCTTGCCAGCATCTTGTAGTCTGTATGTCTGTCTGTCCTCCAGAACGCCATATTTTATCTATGACCCTTGACAACCACATAGCTGTGTGCTTTGTTTTTTTCCCTTAATCTGAGGATCTTATCAACCATCAGCTTTACACTGTCTATAATTCTTGTGATTATCTCTACCATCTTATTAGCCATATTTTATTTACCTTGATTTAGTCCTTGATTTTTTTCCTATTTTTTCCCATTCTAAACATCAATTGAGAAATGACCCATTCTAGTTCTAATCTTTGGGACATGACTTTAACTTCTGATATTATTTGGCTTTAAATTTAAAATTAATCAAAATCTCCAGGCTGTTCCTAAATAGAGCTCAAAACACTAACTCTCTCCAACCCTAATCATTTTTATGTCACCTTGTGCATCCTCGAGTCATGCATTATTCATCCAATTAGCTATTACCAGATGCTAATTGGGCTCCATCCACATGCTCATGAACATCCTTGATCACCATCCTTCCTTGCATCCTGCTGATTTGCACACCACTCCACCCTCACCCCAGTACATTCCTTAATTGTCCTTTCAGAAGGACCTGTGAAAGGACCACTTTCTTATTATCACCTTCCCTAGCCCTCAGCCTTGAATGCCACCCATTTATTTCTCCTTAGTTCTTTGAGGGGTCAGACCACTCTGCCTTCTAGTGCTGCGGTTGCTCTTGAGTATTACTGCCTACGTGCAAATTTTCTTCTCATTACTTGTAAGATCTTTACTTATCTTTTTCTTTTCTATATGTGTGTGAGAGATGGGGGATGCACACATGTGCCCTACATGTATGCTCATATGTGCCAGGGATCGACATTGAACATCTTTTTCTTTCTCTGTCAGCTTTAATTTTTAAAGGTGAGATTTCTCAATGAAGCTCAATCTTGCTGTTTCAGCTGAACTTGCTGGCCAGAGAGGTCCTGGGATTTGCCTTTCTCCAGTTCCTCAGCACTGGAGTAACAGGTGCACACCACCACACTTGAGTTTTGTGTGGGTGCCGGGGATCCAAACTCGGGTTCCCATGCGTGCCCAGCCAGGGCTTTACTCACTGAGCAGGCTCCGCAATCCTTATTTTCTCTGTTTTGACATTTCCATTTCATGTGCATTTATTTTTCCTCACAGAACTTCACTATTCTACTGACTCCAGTGATCCGTGTCTTTCTTTGGCTGTGGAAGATGCTAGGTTATGTCTCTGAAGGTTTTCTGTGCCTAATTTCCCCTGTGGGACCACTTGGCAAATAGACTATAGGCTCTTCTCCATGCCCTGTGTCCCAAAAACCTTTTTTAAAATATATATTTTAATCACTGTATCCATTTCAACTGCATTTTGGATAACTATCTTAGATCTCCCAGTCAAGATGAACAGTCTGGGAGACTGGCAGTCATCAGCGAGGAGGAAGAAAACCAGAGCCATGTGCACACTAGTTCTTTTGGGGTTCAGGCCAGAGGGGACATGGTTTACCCAAGAAGACTTCTACAAAGCCTGGTCTATCTTCTAGGGGATGGAAAATAAGACAGGGGGATGAGCTCAGAATACTGAGAAATCCCCTCTACCATGGCTACCACCCCCCACAACTACCAAGTCTCCCACATGCCTCATTTCTCATTTTGATGAGTTCTACATTTTTTATAACTTTTCTTTGAGCTTGTGTTTTCACTCTGCCTTTTCATGTCTCTGCTGATTAGAATTCTGATTACTAGATGATGTTCTTAGGGTGTAAGCTTCTATTTGGTGGAGCTAATGATTTGTGCTCCCAGCAGGCTGTTCCACTGTGTATTTTACACTGTGGCTTGTCTTCACCAGCCCTATGGAGTCTGGGTGTCCTGGTGCAGGGTGTGCCGCTCTGTGCGGGCTGACAGTATTCATGGAGACACCATCCTGCTGTTCTTTCAGATTCTCCACAGATTGCACCACTGCCGCTGCCACTCATGTACTTTTCCTAGGAGGAAGGAGAGAAGATTTTGTTTCCACCCAGGGCTCGGGGTGGAACAGGCAAGCTTTCGGATTTGCTTCTCTGTCGGCTGGTGGGTGAGAGTTCTTATTCCTTGTATAGAGTCTATCTCAAGGCAGTCCCTAGGAGGGCTTTGCTTTCCACATGAGGCACAGCGTCTGCTCTGCTACCAGGGCCCAAGGGCTGGTCTCAAATAGGAGGCAAACAGCTCCAGATTAGCAGGGTGGCTCTGGCCCCAGCAAGTCGCAGGGTCAGCGTGGTTTCAGTTCTCTTCTTGTTTCTGGCTATTTCCATTTCATTTCTTGTGGGCTCAGCTGTTCTTTTAGACGACTTGTTTTATTTTGTCCAGCAGGAAGTTGTAAGCATTTCGGTTAAAGGATTTTTAAGCTTTCTGGTCACCCCAAAAAGCAGAGCCACTTTAATAAGTGAGAGTTCAAATACATTAATGGAATTCTAATCTCGCAGGTGGGATAATCAGAGAATTTACAAAATAGAAGTATAAATGCCTAATAAATGCATGGAAAGCATCCAACTATGTATCAAAATTATGAGTGTACATGAGATGATTTCTATGTGCTCACAGAAGTCAGAGCATCCTCCTTTACTGATCTTCACCTTATTTTTTGAGATGGGGCCTCTCACTGAGCCTGGAGCTCACTGGTTTGCTAGAGTAGCTAGTCAGCAAGCTTCAGGAACCCACTTGTCCTTTCCTGCCCAGCACGGGGCTACAGATCAGCGTGGCTGCACCTAGCCTTTTCACATGGGAGCCTGGGATCTGAACTCAGGTCCTCAGGCTTGCACAGCAAACACTTTACCCACTGAGCCATCACCCCAGCCCAAGAAGTCTGCTGCTTTTGTTACAGCACTGGGACTGGGGCTGTGTCATCTGCGGCATGCCAAAAGTGCTCAAAAAAACATCCTAGAATGAATGAATGAGACCCTTGGGTAACTCATCACCCCATAGAGCATTTCAGGTTTTGTTTTAGACAGGTTCTTGTTCTATAGTTCAGGCTAGCCTCAAACTCACCATAATCCTACCTTTACTTCCCAGGCGCTGGTATTACAAGCATCCGCTGTGATGACATTGACTTTACCCATAAATCCTAGATATACTGGCGTGCAGGAGACCTGAACCTTGTAGAGAAATAATTACCGAACCAACATACTAGGATTTTCTTGGAATCACCTCCCCCATTTGTAGCCAAGAGCAGTTATTTTGGGGCCCAGATGCCTGTGGGTCAGGAACCTGGCTGCTGAGATCCAAAGCAGACAGCCCTGAGTATGCGTGCATGGCCTTTGGACTCTGGGAAGTGTCGTTGATACTCCCCAGGAAGCTTGTGAAACCTCCTGTTTATAAAGGTTTCTCAGTCTGTTATACTTTCCCTCCTCCTGCTCTTGGTAACACGGATGTTTGCATTCCGCAGGGATTCTTGATGTGACAAGCTATTTTCTCCAGCTAGTCACCCTTCTGGACCAGACTCTAAGCCCTGGCAGCACCCAGGGAGAGATTCCGGTCCAATGCACTGTCATTTCCCTGCTGGACTGAGCAAAAGCCTCTGAGCTCAGCTTTCTCTACTTCAGCTTTGACACCACTCACGCACTGTGCTTACTGAAGTAGCACAAAAATAAAATGTGGACATGTCATACGACATCTCCCCACTGACTCCTTGTTCCTACAGGACCATGATCTAGCTGCCAGTGTGTCCTGGAAGGTGACCTTGGTCTGACAGGTCTTATGTTCAGCCTCTCAATGTGACCCCAGCACTGCAAGTTTGTCACACGGGTTGTTACACCCTGCTCCCATCCCCCACCTCGACACCTTCACACACACACACACACACACACACACACACACACACACACACACCACTTCCTCCACCTGTTCGCTGACTTCCTCCTCCGATTTCTACTTTAAAACCCTGCAGAGGTGACCTCCCTGGATACATCCATCCTTGACTCCCTTGAGCAGAACCAGGTGGGTTTTTCTCTGTCGTCTTACACAAAGTTGTAGAGAACTTTTAAAACATTAAGAATCATTGAAGTGTGTGTCATCTGCTGTTTGTCTCTGCAGTAACTCACTTAGCTAGGCTCTCATTGTGCCCCACTGCCTGGACTCCATCCCTCCCCTGGACTGCTGCAATATCCTCACAAATACAGAATATTTTCGGGCTTTGCTCTTTTGAGTGACTGAAAAGCTTAAATATCCTTTGGCAGAAACGCTTAAACATTTCTGCTGGACACGATGAGATAAGCAGCCTCTGGCGTTTGAGGCCAGTCTGGACTAGGAATACGAATTTGCTCCGGTTACGTAACTGATGTTCTACACTTAGAGGGTGCTGCCTCCGCCAGGAACATGTTTATCCTTTTTCCTGATGGAAATCCTTGGATCCCTAATGCTTTCCAGAGTAAAGTCCAGATTTCCTAGCACGTGATGCCCAAAGGGTGATCCCAAAGCACAACAACTTATGGGGTCACTCACAAAGTGAGTGTGGTGTCGGCCACTCTGGTTAACTGTTAGGAGTTGGGAGATCCTAGTACCCCTCATGCTTTCTGATTCTAGAACCTCAGCCTCACTGGAGCAGCTGCTGTGAAGGCCCCATGAGTAGCTCTGAACAGAGGTGCAGGGTCCTCCAGTAGAAACAGGCCCTGAAGCCGTGTTGATCCCTGTGGCCTGGGCTGAAAACCATTGGGGACCTGGCCTCACAACCGGGACAGAAGCCCAGTTCCTTACCAGAGGGACCGCAGCTGCGGCTTGAGTTCTGATTTGCGAGTTTCTTAAATTCCATGAGCTCGGCATGGTCCTTCTCGTACGTTCTCTTCAGATTCTCCACGTACTGCATCATCACTTCCGTTGCCTTTGACATGCGCTTTTCCTGCGGGAAGGAGGACACAGGTGCGTGACGGACAGCTGAGGAAAGGGCACCGTCCACACGTGACCGCTCTGAGCCCAGCCCTGGGCTACCAGGATACAAAGGCTACAGGGACCGTCGGATGAGAACCTGTCCCGCGAGTCTGTCTCCTGTGACATGGGACTGAGACTCTCAGTCAGAAATGGGCCCACCAGCGAGGAGACAGGCAGCCACACACGGTAATAGTGAGAGGATGAAGGGATTGCTTTACTCTAGGACAGAAGAGGTGGCGATGGCTTTGTGGAGGTGGTCTGGAGTCACAGATGTAGGGGGTGGGCACATGGACACGGGAAGGACAGACAAAGGTCCGAGGCCAGGGAACTTCAGGCATCTGGAGTCAGAGACAGCACCTCATAGGACTTGTATGTAGACGATTTACTCTTTAGACAGAAATCGTTTAGGATGAACGTGGGCACCGTTCCATATTACAGTGGGACACTGAATCTCTCCCAGGGCTTCTGCAAGTCAGCAGAGCGCAGACAGCCCGCTTCATATCAAAAATCAAGACTCTCTTGGGTTTGCTGGGAGGAAGTGCTTCAGGGCTGGGTCATGAAGGACTTCACATGCTAGATGAAGGGGTCTTGACTTACTCTACAGAGAAGGAGGAATTGCTGACAGTGTTAAAGCGGGGGTGACCAAGTATGATGGAGACAGGACAGAAGTAAATGAGACTGGTAGCGGTGACAGCAACAGGGGACAAGTGTCGGAGCTGCTCCAAAGAAGCCAGTGAGGGAACTGAGCAATGAGACACAGAAGACAGGATGGGAGCACAAGGCTGGACGGGGACCACAAGACAAAACAGGGGACCACGAGGCAGGATGGGGACCACTTTAAGGATACAAGTCAGGCATGGTGGTGCATGTCTGTACCTTAGTTCTCAGGTAGTTGAGGCAAGAGGGTCATGAGTTTGAGGCCACCTTAGACAATCTACTGAAATTCCACCTCAAAAATAAATAAGTGGGGGCTGGAGAAATGGCTCAGTGGTTAGGAATACTGACTACTCTTCTAGAGGACTCAGGTTCAATTCCCAGCACCCATATTGTAGTTCATAACCGTCTATAACTCCAGTTATAGACAGAGGTCCCCGGGGGGTTTCAATGCCTTCTTCTGGCTTTTACTGGCACCAGACATACATGTGGTGCACAGATATACATGCAGGCAAAATATCCATGCAAATAAAAAAATGAAAATTTAAAAATAATTAAGTAAAAATAAAGAAAAGAAGTGCGAAAGGAGAGTCGATACAGTGTCTTTACTCCCACATCCCAGAGCCCCCAAGAGGACCCAGCTTAGGCGCTGTCTATACTAGAGGGGTTTCCCTATAAAGGTCCCCACAGCCATGTGGGATGGAGACCTGGCCCTTCCCTAGCATTCTTCTGGTGTTGCTACCAGCTGGACCTACTTCCTAGGCCACAGTGCTGAGTCAGGAGCTCTCTCTCCGGAAACACACGAGGGTGGGTCAGCCTGGTGGCCTGGCTTTGTTTCATTTCCCAGGGTGTGCTGGGGGACGCACCCTCAGAGCATCTATTCACACAAACAGTGCGGCAGGACATGGCTACAACGGTGTCACATGGATCAATGTTTTCCATGCACTGCGCCTGTCTTACATGGCAGCCGTCATAGGCACCCCTGCTTTGCAGCCCCAAGTGACTCTCAAGTGTGACTGTGAAGAGCTCTGGCCACGGTGTGAATGAGGGATGGAGGCTGGACAGAAACTCAGGCACTACAACATTGTGTGGAGGTTCCGTCTACTTCAAAACTTCAGCGTGGCCCAGGTGTGCAGTCTAACCTGGCCTGTGCCAGCTCCGCCACTCACTGATGCTAGAACGGCTTCAGTATCCCTGACTTACTGAGAGTGTCTGGGGTTTTGACAGGTCTGGAAATAGCGCATACACACTGAAGCCTCTTGGGAATAGGACCCGAAGTCTAAACACATTCTTCATTGTATTATACATGTTGCCCAGAGAGAATTCTGCATGTTTTTAGTGCGTTTTGGCTGCATCTTGTCACAGAAAATTAGTTGTTTTCCACTTGAAATGTGATGGAGGCACTCAAAATGTTTGGAATTTTTGGGATTTTTCTCTCTCTGGAAGTTATCTTTCTGAGAACATGCAACTTCACTGGGGATAGAGTTGGGAGGTGGAGACCACTTTCCAGGGTTACCGGGTGGATTAAATAAAAACAGCACGTTTACCTGAAGCACGCTCTGCCCAACACTGCTTCTGTAGGAGCTAAGTATGTATTTCATAAGAACAACAAGAGAGAGGGGCTCCTAGTAACATATATTTATAAACCACACCGGGAAAGCTAATTAGACGTCTATCATAGGGAATTCTCTAACTCCGCTACAGTGAACCAGCTCTAAGGGAGGAAGGCAGTACAAAGTCTACCTCAGATTTCAAAGTCCACAGAAAATAATTCCTCAAGGAATACTTCAAAGGTTTAATAGGCACCAAGTATGTTGGAATATCTCAACAACCTACAGAGAATGCCTGGCCTAAGCCAGTCATCAAGGGGTGGTACCTCTTCTTGCCCCTGTGTGTGTCATGGTGCTAATTACTGAAGCTGGAACAGCGCCAGCCAGCAAGGCTCAGTGCCGTGGGGCTCACCTGGCGCACAGCCCCCACCACTTCGGCCCGGCTGGAGAGGCGGGCAGCCAGACGATGCAAGACCGCGATGTCTTCCAGAAGCTTCTGATAGGTCTCTCGGTGCTCACAGTGGTACCAGATGGATGATGAGGACTGAGGGAAGACAAGGGTATCACCCTGAGACTTCAAACTGTTTTCCCACCTGTGCATGCTGAGAACCTAACCCCAATGTGCAGGTGGGAGAATGGGCCCTTGGGAGTTGACTGGATCACCCGGGTGGAGCACTTGTAAGCAGAAGTAGTGCATATATGTCAGGGGCCCCGGAAATTTCTCTCATTCTCTTTCCACCATGTCAGGCTAGAATGAGAGGCTAGTCATCTGCAAGTCTGAAGAGGACCTCAGTAAGGACCTGACCACGCTGGAACCCTGAGCTTGGATTTCTAGCATCCAGAGCTAAGGGGAACAGCATGTTTATTGCTTAAATCACCCAGGCAATGATAATTTATTAAGCAGTTTGAGCTGACTAAGATGACCCATGCCAAACCTGGATTCATTTTCATGAGTCAAGACCTGGGTCTCATCCGGGCTAGGTGAAGAAACTCCTACAAAGTCCAAGCCACAGTGTCTTCCAGATATTGGAGAAGCCCAGTAGAGACATGTTACATCTGGCTTGCCGGCCTGAAAGGAGTCATAGCCAAGCCAATCAGCCACCTCCTAAGGAGCTGGCGGGGGTATGAAGCCAAACCCTCAGGATCTCTGCCTCAGCTCCTCCCTGTCCTTTGAGGAAGACTGTCAGGGCCTTGGCTCCCTTATCATTTTCAGAGACCACTTGGTTAGAGAAAGAAGTGTGATGTTGGGCCTCACCCTTAGAGGCCATGGCTCTGCATGGACTCCTTAAGCTGGGCCCTCAATTACCGTAATGGAAGCTTTGAAATTCTCCAGCTCCTTCTCGGTGTTCTCCTCTGTCAGGTTGCGTTCCCTTTCAGCCTGGTTAATTCTAGACTCCAAGGTGTAGCTGTCATTTCTAAAGGCCAAGGACAGTTGTACAAACACGTTCTGTTGGGAACAAGAGTGAGGCAGAGGCGCTGGGAGGAGTCACTGCGGCCAGCAAGGCCACAGTAGGATTCTGGCTCAAGCCCTCTACCAGAGTCTGTGGAACTAGTCCAAGGCCTCCATGTGCAGGCGAACCCACCCCCTCCACAGCGAACACACACAAAGGCACCAAAGGCAACCCCTGAGGTCCAGAGACAAGTGCAACCATCAGACAACAGCAGCCTACTTTTCCCCAAATCAAGAACATGAGCACCTGGGTTTGGGTTGAGATGGGTGTAGACCAGTGCAGCCAGCCATGGAAGCGGTCTGGATTAATACTGGGATCTATTGTGAGGCAAGGGGGTGGAGGGAGGAGGTTGGAAGATTTGCATGGAACCCCTGAATCTAAAGAAGTGCCAGGTGAGCTTCAGGCTTGTGGATTTAAAGCAAATTTCAAATAGTCTCTAGCCTTGTTATTTCTAATTCCTATGTCAGTTTTAAGTAACTTCCAGATTAGACAAGGTCAGGCATGGATCTGTTAAGATAAACTTCCAGGAGTAAATATTTCAGCCCAAGATGAAACACACCACACAGGAACAATTTTTTTTTTTTAGTTTTTAAAATATTTTGTGTGCATGGGTGTGTTGCACATCTGCACACCAAGTGAGTGCGGTGGCCTTGGCAGCCAGAAGAGGGTGTTGGATCTCCTGGAACTGGAGTTACAGATGACTGTAAACCACCATGTGGGTGCTGGGAATTAAGCCCAGGTCTTCTGGTGCCAGTGCTCTTAACCACTGAGCCATCTCCAGCCCCCAAGAATGAAGTTTTCAAGAGTGGCATTGCTCAAATGTGGAATTCCTAGGGGAAAGGGAGCTACCAAGAACTAGGCTCATCCTATTAATATCGCTCTCACCATAACACATTACTACTGGGGAGGAAAAATAGATGGACTCCACACAAGAAGGGAGTGAAGGAGGGGCTTCAGTTCCAATTGCTTCATCTGTCCTGCCTGTGGTGTCTTTGTCTATGGTGTGTGTGTGTCTGCATCTTTGTCTGTGGGGTGTGTGTATGTGTGTGTGTGTGTGTGAGTGTGAGTGTGAGTGTAACAGCATACACGTAGAGGTCAGGGACTTGGTTCTTTCTGCGTACCATGGGTCATGAGGTTGGCAGACTCGCATAGCATATACTTCTACTCACTAAGTCACCCCACCTGCTCATACTTTGTGGTCACTGACTCTGCCTGGCTACATATAACATGGCCAATGACAGTAATTTCCGGACAAAAACTGATCCCTAGATGATATGGTGGATCTACTGGAAATGAAACAAAATGATCATCACATTGTTGTGAATTTTGTGATTGCTGCATTTGACCCCACAACATCTCTCTGGAGTTATGACTCCTACACCCATTTTACAGGCAAAGAGACCAAGACTAGAGACATCATTAACTTGTTCAATTTGACAGAAGAAGTAGCAGAGCAAGGGCTTGACCTTCGATGCTCTGATTTCCAAGTCTGTCTTATTTCCAGCGTGCTGATGGCTATGCTAGAACATATCTGAGGAGAGGATCTGGCATTAAAGACCTGCCATGGTCAGTCTCCACGATGCTAGAGGGGGCTCTGACTCACAGCCCAGTGATGGGAATTCTCTACTATCCAGCCTCAATCTATGAACAAGTCTCAATGCTTAGCTATGCCTGACTCAAAGGGTCCTGAAGTCAGTTGGAATATTTGTTTCCAGCTCTTGATCTTGGTAAATCCTGAATCTGAGACCTTGAGTGAGTTGTTTTGTTGCCTGATTTTTCTTCTGCTTTAAATCCTACTCTATCCACTTGGTTGAGCTACTAGGAGATCAGTTTCATGGAGGGCTGTGAGCATTCTAAAGTAATAACGTCTGGTTCAAGGTCATTGTGCTACCTAGGAGTAGACAGCTCGGGTTGTCTGTCTTCCTTTGCTTGTTTATCTGGTCCACTTCACTGATCCTTCCTGTCTCACCTCTGCTGCTTATTGTCCATCTGTCCTTTCAACAGGTTTAAAGTTCTTCTCAACTCACCTATCACCCAACACTGGGACAAGGAGACCCACAGAGTCGTCATGGTCAGATCAGGGAAGACCGTGCCAACAGCTTTCACGCTGTCTGTGCGCTGACCTTCTAACTGCCCAAACTCTCAGGGCAAGCAACTTTGTCCTCCAGACCAGAGTCTGAAGTTTTAAATCTGGCTACATTTTTAAAAATTGAAATATATCTGGTGCAGTTTCCTGGCTGACTTGGTATTAGAAACCCACCCACCATGGCACATCGACAGTCTTTGAAGGTGGAGGCACCAGCAACCTTCCCACCTCCAACAAGACATGTCAAAATCCTCCATGAATGGAGGCAGGCACGGGAAACTCAGCAGTGGGCTGGGAACAAATATCCAGAATATTCCACAGTCACTTGTTCCCACTCTTGTGTAAAAATGTCAGGGTCACCCCCTGGAGGAAGGGAGATTTGGATAAACCTCATCAAAGAGTCGCTACATTTCCCAGGGTCCTTGAGTCACTTACCTCAACTTCCTTCTCAGTGAGTGGAGGGGCACTGTGAAGAAGAAAAAATGCACAAGTGAACCTTATCCAACCTATTCAATGAAGCAGAAGGGGACTTTGAATGACCAGCAAGCCACACACGCCAGAAGAGGAGTGAGCAGAGCTTACAAGAGGAAGAGGATGCAGAATCCTCTTTGTCTCCTGTCATCTGTGAGACACTGATCTTCACAGAGGTCATTAGATGTTGAGGCCAGCCCTCCAGGACAACCGATATGAACGTTCTACCTTCCACCTTGATCATATTTAAATCAGAGTAACAACCTCTATGTTTGCACATACACACATATGTACACATGATCATGTTTGTCGCATGTATGTGTAAATGCAGTGCTGTCTTTCACACAATCCATATTCTTGGAACCAGCCAAGTATATATTAAAAACTTTGAAAAAATGTGTTTATACTGAATTTGTTCAGACTTTTTTTGCCATATTCTTTAAGCAACACAGAAAAGCATCCATTTATATAGAACTTATACTGTATTGGATATTATAAATCATGTAGAAATTATTTAAAGTATGGGAGGGTTGTATAGACTACATGTAAGTACTGTGCCATTTTATATAAGGTCTTGGGCATTTGGAGTTTGGTTTCTATGTTGTGCGTGTATGTGTGCGTCCTGGAACCAATGCCCACTTCAGATTAGCCATATATGACATCTTGGCTGTTATTACTGTTCACCCGCAGGCTGTGAGGAATCAGAACATACACATGCATTTGTCACTGACTAACTATGTGTCTGAGGTGAACTGTAGCTTTTGAGGGATTTCTACTTCTGCAAAGACTGCTCCTTCCTTCCTAGGCTCTGACAAACATCTATTTGGTTCAGAACTACAAGACAAGAAAAGGGTTGGAAGAGCTCATTGCAGCAAGACCTCCAAAGCTTGGGATCAGGGTGTGAGTACCACCTGCCATAGAGGCAGCCCGAGAGGTTCCTGCACAGTTTCCACAGCCTGCCCCAGTCAGCAGACTCCTTATCTGCACACCCATTCCATGTGGCTTCCAGTGTAGTGCTTAGCAACTAAAGCTAGCCTCATTGGAAGCCCAGATAACGTAAATACCACACAGGCGCTTTCCTGTGCTGGGTGGGGAGGCAGGAAGGGTCCAACTTGCCTCAGAGCAAACAGGCCATCAATAAACTTCTCAGGAAGCACAGTTTTCCTCCCTTGGATGGGTATGGAGGGACCCCAAGAGCAAGGGTAGGGGTCAGCCATCTCTGCAAAGGGCTGGTTCTCACCTTTGACAAGGGACATCGAGAGCCTTCCTGTCAGGATGAGACAGCAAGACCCTGTGGCCATCAAGCTGCCAGGAAACAGAGCATGGGGACAAACAACAGCAACGATGTCTGATGCTTGCAGTGCCTGTCACAGCCCCACCCCACAGGCCCTGTCCTCTGAGCGTCAACACACTCTCTTGCTGTTATAAACTGTCTGGGGGTTTACCAAAGAGCTCAATGTGCTTCTGACTGCTTTGTTCACTTGGGTATTACATGAATTTTACATCTTTCCATAATTAATTCAGCAAGCTTCTTTTTCTATTTTGGTGACACATTCTGCCTTGGGCTACAGAACACATCAACATATATATGGTAAGGAACAGGGTGGTGTGATGTAGGCCAAGTGGTCACACAGCACAGCCGGCTCTGAAGGCAGAGCCCGAGACTTGCATAGGCAGCGAGGAGGTGGACCAAGGGAGTGACGGAGTGTCCTCTCAGGTAGCCCTGCGTACCCGCCTTGATATGCCTGTTTCAAGCCTTTGCCCATTCTGGGAAACTCTTTAGCTAAATTTAATTGGATTACAGCATCGACAGCTCAGGCTCTTTTTTTTTTTTTTTTTTTTTTGATTATTATGATGGTGACGTACTGTTCACCTATTCTTTTTAAATCTTCTGCTTGGACTTTTCCTGTCTTATCTAAAGTCATGGGTTAGCCTAAGCTCATAGCTCATGAGCCTTGCCTCTTGCAGCTTCTTCTAAGCTTTCCACAGTATTTTCCTTAATATTTAGGTCTGTGGTCCATTTTGAGCTGGGCGTTTGTGTATTACGGTGGCTTCACTCTATGGCTGTGATTTGCTGGTTGTCTCCCTGCCATTTCTTAAAACTACTCCGATTTTTTTTTTTTGAAAGTTATTCACCAAGTCTTAGCAAGTGTGGCCTCTTCTTGTGTCCTGGATTCCCTACTATCCTGTCATAAAGGTCTTCCTTGGCTCTCCCCAGTGCCTTGCTCTTGTGCCATTCTTTCTATTGCCCTGTCACATGGTCTTCCTAGCAACTTCCTTATCTCAAATCCCTATGCTACACTTTCCAATCCAGTTCTCAAGGATGTGTCCAATGCTGACACTGTCCCAAGTCCCTGCCCACAGATAGCCTCACTTACCGCACCCTGCTAGTGACAGAACACTACAATTCCTGTAAGGGCGATGAAGCTAAGACTCAGGAAGATGTCTGGGGCTTTCTACTTAGTTCTTTGTATTATTTTGAATGTTGTACAATTCTCCATATACAGGTAAATGATTTATCTGGATTGAACCGTGTGTCTCCTGCCCTAAAGCCCACCACTCACAGCTCTGGTGACCCTTATGTCCTCAAAGGTTTATACTCTAGGAATTGGAAATACCAACCCGGCCCATGCTCACACTTGGTGTTTGGTTGTATCAGCCCTGCCTGGACCACTGGACTGGATCCCTTCTGGGATAAGAACCAAGACTTGATTCTCCTTTGTGTTCCACCCAGGCTCTAATATGGGTGCCCCCTGAAAGGTCTTCAAAAGCTGAGGTTGTGGTTTTACCTTCCGGTGAGCGTCTTGTGAACCCTCAGTTTGCGCAGCAGTATGTCAGAAATGCTGGGCATCACATCCAGACCGCTCTTCGGCTCTTCTTCCTCAGCTGCTGGGGTGAGTTCGGAAGAGACCCCTGGAAAATAAAAGTGCTCCCTTTAGGATGCCTGTCTGAAATCAAGCTAGGACCGCTGGCAGCTTGCTTCAGGGCCCAGGAAGACTGTCAACCGCCTTGTAAACACTTTGCTACCTGCCAGCCCCCTTCTAATTGCCTTCTAGCTTACTTTACCCTCACAGTGACCCGAAGAGCTGCTTCTCAACCATCCCTTCTTTTTTATTGATATTTATTGAGCTCTACATTTTTCTCTGCTCCCCTCCCTGCCTCTCCCCTCCCCTTCAGCCCTCTCCCATGGTCCCCGGGCTCCCAATTTACTCAGGAGATCTTGTCTTTTTCTATTTCCCATATAGATTAGTTCCATGTATGTCTCTCTTAGGGTTCTCACTGTTGTCTAGGTTCTCTGGGATCATGATTTGTAGGCTGGTTTCCTTTGCTTTATGTTTAAAAATCAAGTATGAGTGAGTACGTATGATATTTGTCTTTCTGGAACTGGACTATCTCACTCAATATAATATTTTCTAGTTCAATCCATTTGCCTGAAAATTTCAAGATGTCATTATTTTTCTGCTGTGTAGTACTCCATTGTGTAAATGTACCACATTTTCCTTATCCATTCTTCGGTCGAGGAACATTTAGGTTGTTTCCAGGTTCTGGCTATGACAAACACTGCTGCTATGAACATAGTTGAGCACATGTCCTTGTGGCACGCCAATCATCCCTTTTTACAGGTGGATAACATCAGGGTCAATACAGTTGGTAACTTGTTGGAGATTACAGGCATAGTGAACAGTACAGCCTGACTTCAAACCAACGTCTCTCTGTCCCCAGTTGCTTCTTCCTGTAACTCTCCACTGTGTCAAGCAGAATTGTAGTCAGTGTTTAGTGTTGGTTTCTGGCAACTGGACACTGGTTGGCTTGGCTCTTTGATTATGGTGTTTGGGAAAACCTCTCTATTTGGCAGGCTCTTCAGGGGATATCTTGACTGATAATTTTTTTCCCGAATAATTTCAAAAGCACTATCATCTAGTTCCTACCTAGAAGTTAACATCTGACTTGCCACTAGATAGTAACAGAAGCGGGTATTTTCCAGGATAAGGCTAGGGTCATCAGCCCTGTCACAGATCTCACAACTATGGATGCCTGCTCGTCAACAGAGTCAACAAACAGCCTTTGCTGCCTCCTGAAATGATGCAGGATCGCATCCGGGAAACAGAGAAAGCAAACCATAAATCTCTCTTCTGCTTGAACAGCTCTTTACCTCAGCAAACCAGCCCTTTCCTGGATCTGTCCCCTATTTCCCCATTGCTCTCTAGGGAATCCCATAGTGCATGGTCTCCAGACACCATCCCTTGTCTATACATCTGCTGTGTTGCTGTCTGAGAGACCCGGGTGTTCTCCAGCAAGGTCAAGACAGGACAACGGCCAACACCCCTGGCATTAACCTTCACATCCATGCATGATAGACTGGCTGTGATCTTCCATGTACCCACAGCGCATTCAGAGCAAAGTCAAAGCTTCGGCTCTCTTTCATCCACGCCGGTTCAGGATCCCTATCCTGTACAGTGGGCGTTCTTGGTATACAGGCAACAATCTAATCCTGTGTTTTCCTGTCTTCTAGGGCCTCTGGCCTAGCAGTGTTCCAAACTTGCTTGTCCTTGTCCATTTTTCAAAATTGCAGTTCAGGCTAGAGATCAGGACTGAAGGCAGAGTTGTAGCAATCATCTATATGGAGTTAAGGCTGGGATTCCTATCACCAAAGGAGACCAAGCAGGGCAGGGAGGAGCACACTTAGGTTCCCATTAAATAAGTTTTAAACACTTCGATCCTTTCAATAACAAAATGGTATTATAGGATCCCTAATATTTCAGTTACTCAAATGAAAGCTACAGGGCCATCTGTCAGGGACAGAACAGCCAGCAGTGCATTCTGGGTAAAACACTAGACTAGATGTTCCTGTAGCTCTCAGTCAACGCTTGGGTTTTCTGCTGGCATTTATTGGTCACTGACAGTTCCATGTGTCAGGTGGCAAAGCTGTCGCCTGCGGTCTTATGTATTCACGCAGTTCCACCATGCTCAGCAGAGAACCAGGCAGGCAGGGCGTGCCTGAAAGTGTGGGTAACTGAAAGATCAACTCTAATGTCACATGAAGAACACGCTCGAGGTGTCTGTCTAAAGAACACCTTTAAGTTGAGGAGGAAGAAGAGGAAAGAAGATGGAAAGGGGTAAAGAAATTAATTCGGGCTTCCCAGCTCCTGTAAAATAACAATCCCATAACTGGATACCAGAATTAAACACCGTCTTCCTGAATGTAACCAAATTAGCAACCATACACACACACAAACAAAAAACCACCTCTACATGCAACAACATTCAAATACAGGAAAAGACAGCGCTAAAAAAAATGGCTAAAAACAAGAATTTCCTAGAAATGAATGTGGCACCCCCACCTTTCACGCTCTTCTGATGGGGTGAGTGGCAGGAGACATGAAAAGCTCCTAATGAAGCTATCTCATGCCTACAAGTCCTACTTCTAGAAAACAGCAAAGTGGCCAAAGTTCAGGGATTTTGTCTGTCTTTCCCTCCCTTTTTGGGGCAGAAGAGCAAATGACTCCTGGGATGGGTTGGGCCAAGTATAAACAATAGACACCTGCTCAAACTCTGGCTGTAATTCTGTCCTAAACTGGGTTCCAAGCCCCACCAATCCCCAGCCGTGGTAGCAGAAGTATCCCACTTTGGCACAATAAACTCAAGTTTTGAACTCTGAACAAAGAAGCAGAAAGCCAGTCCTACAAAAGGCGCCGCTCACAGCTTTGTCTGCGCTTCTCTTTCCTCCCCACCCAAGCTAGACGCACACACGGGCACCCAGTGTGCAAGTAAACTCCCGAGGAGGAGGAGGACAGAGTGCCGAGCTGAGGCAGGAGGCAGCGGGCAAAATTAACCTGCCACACACATGAAGGGAAGAGGGAAACCCAGGTAGAAGTGACCGAATCAGAAAGAATTGAAATGAAAATCAATGACATGGCAACCAGACAAAAATACTAGGGTTAAAAGAGGAAGGAAAGACGGAAGGTAGAAGGGAAGGAAGAATGGAAACACACAGGAGGCAGATGTCAGGATGGACACAGAGATGCAAGGAACACAGAAAAATGCGAAACTGCATTTCTGTGCAAAATACACACTGCAAATGCTTACCGCTAGGAGGAATTAGAATCTGAAGAAAAAATCAAAATAAGAAACCAGAACAAGACAAGAAAATCAAACAATTCCTATTTTAGGAAACAAAAAGACCAAGCGCAGAATGAATAAAAAATTGGAAATGGAACTAGTCAGTATATTGAAAAATGAGGATTAAAAACAGCTGCTCTCTTTGATAAGGTGGAGGCAGCACTTGCAGCTCAAAAAAAAGAAAGAAAAATGAGGAAATATAATGGTTTTACTTGAATTGGTAAGGTTAAGAGAGATTGACTTATAAAGGATATAAAGAGGAAAAGGAAGATGGAAGGAGGCGGGTTCTAAGTTGAGCCCTACTGACCATTTCATCTAACAAATAAGCTATTCAAAGACATAATAGGAAAAAATTGTCCTCAGTGGAGGGGAGAGGAACTTGGAGATTGACTATCCACATGATGTTTTTGTTTTTAAGTCATGTCTATAAAGAAATGCTACCGCTGTTATTCTTAACAGAAAAAGACACCTACAGGAACCATGAGGGCCAAGAGACACCGGAAACCAGCTGGCCGTGGACGTCTCTACAGCCCTGAACACGGCTGGATGACAACGGTGCCCAGGAAGGAGTTAGCCAAGACTTTTATAACTATGCAGCCTATTGCTAAACAAGACAACATTGTCAACTGTGCTACAACCGGGGACACAGAACAACTCTGGTGCTTCCCAGGGAAACCACTAGATGATGAACAACAGCTAAACAAGACATAAATCAAAACAAAATGCTTAGGAATGGTCAGCCACAAGGAAGGAACTAGCAGTAAATGTGAAACCCTTTTGTTCAAGTCCACAGCTGGACAGCTGGACCACTGTGAAAACTGGTTGCGGAGTGGAATGTAAATCTTAGAACCTGGATGACATACAACGAAGAATTCAACATTTAGACAGGCAGAGACAGGAAAGCAGGAAGATACCGCAGGCAAAGAAAATGCTTAACGAGATCTTCTGCTCTTTTTGCTTTTCAGTGCTCCACTTTTGAGGTCTTTTTAATCTGGGAAAGACAGCCTCTCCCAGGCTAGCTAATTCCAGGGAATCCTCTCCTCTGATTCCTTTGACATCTAAACCAATTCAGCCAATCTGGAACTTATATTCCCAACCATCGACTTTCTCCATCTCTCATACACCAAGTCAATACTCATCCTCTCCCTACCTCACCGTGCATCCAACACTCAGACACCTCTCTCCTTTCCAGAGTCCACTAAGATTACTCCAACAATCTGATCTTAAGCTTGCTCAGGGTACCGACTCTGCTTAGCCCACCCCTTACTATGAAAAGCCCAGTAAAGGAGCAAGATCACTTCCCGCCCACCTTTTACCTCCTGACTGACCCTGGTCCTTTCCCTCCTGACCCTGGTGGTGCTGTATCTCCTATGCTAGGGAATCCATGAGTATAAACTTCTCTCCTGATAATTATTTCTGGGTCTGCGTGTCTTGCCATATGTGACCCAAACTGTGCTGGGTAAAGAATTTAGAACAGTTATCTAAACCCAAAGCATTAATGCCAGAAAAATCCACCACAACTCTAAACCCTTAATGTATGTACTTCCTAATACATTGTTAAAACTAATTTCTTGTCTTTGGAGGAAGTGATTACAGAGATTCAGCAAGTTGCACAGTTTCACTTCACTTTAACTCAAATTCAATTAAATTGTAATATTTTTATTTTGAAAGGTACCTCTAGTATACTCTCTCCCCTTCCTCCCTACCCCTTCTGTATTTGTGGAAAATGGCCTTTTGGTGCAACAAGGTAATTTTTTTTCTCTCTTCTATATTCCAAGGCTAAAGCCATTGGT